TAAGCAAAAAAAGGCTCCTTAGCTTTTTTCTTTTTTAAACATTTTTAAATTTTTGTTTATTTATTTTTAGAAGGGAAGGGAAGGAGAGAGGGAGAGAAATATCAATGTACGGTTGCTTCTTGTGCATCCCCTGCTGGGAACTGGCCCCTGCTGGGAGCTGGCCTTGCAACCCAGGCCTGTGCCCTGACTGGGAATCGAACCTCGATCTTTTGGTTCGCAGGCCCGTGCTCAATCCACTGAGCTACACCAGCCAGGACTAGCTTTTTTCATAAGATATATTATCATGGGCTTATGTTTCTTTGCTTCACTACTCTATAATAGAAATCTTAATTATAAACTTCATTGATAGGTATAAATGCTATTGTTTTTTCTTTTTGCTTTATTCTATATATATAATGGAAAGATTTAATACCCTAGTAAAACATACTTAAACTGTACATATTCTGAAAGTTCAGTGTTTATCTTTCCAGGACAAATCCCAGTCTGCTGAAATATGGGAAAAACTGAATTTTGGAAATAAGGACCAAAACGTCAAATTTAGGAAATTAATGGGTATTAAGGTAAGTATATACACTTTCTATTAAAATTCCTACTTAATTTTTAGGGTAACACTGGCACTCAACTTCAGATATATTTCAGTGGTGTCAACTCTGCTTTCTGTTTTATGTTCTGCAGATTAATTTTACAGAATTAACTAAATTATTTTGACATTATCACTAAGTTGACAGCACAAATTACTTAAACTAACAGGTTTGTTGATTATTACTGTGTGTTTAGACCTTAGGTCACAGGTGGCGGGCAAGGCCTGCAGGCCGAATCCGGCTCTCCACCTTGTTTCTATGCGGCAGCAGCGCCGAGCTCTTGCTTCACTGTTAAGGAGTAGTTACATGTACACAGTTCTAAAGTTACATTCAGTCCTTTGAAGGCAACCCAAAGGACCCCAGTGAAAATGAGTTTGACACCCCTGCCTTAGATGAACACTGTTCAGGGTCATCAGAATCTGTTTGTAAATGAAATTTTTAAAAAGGAATTAATGGATTTGCTTTTTAATAAAAATACTGCTCATTTAATGTTAATCTGATGGAGTAGGACCTTGATTTTCTTAAAGTTTCAAGGAAGCTTTTTTTAACATGTAGAAAATTGAGTTTTTGCTGAATACAAGTAACACAAACAGTATTAGATTTCATACAACCTGGAAAGGTCCACAGTTGTTCAGACATTGGTCATTAGTAAGGGAATTGGTTTTTCATTGAAGGACTCTAAGGAGTAAACTAAGCTGGCTCTTCACACACTGTCAGGCATTTTCTCCTGTTCTTCATCGTGCCCACTGAAATGAAGCTGATGTATTTTGTTACATCCCAGTACCTACAAAGACCATAGGATGCTGGGTGGGTGGGTGGATAGATGGGTTAATGGAGGTCAAATATGTGACCTCAATTATGAGGTCCTAAAAATGTGATTTACCAGTACTGTGAAGTGAGAGAAGCATTTTTCATTCCTGTCTGAGTTCATTTTAATATATTTTCTGTTTGCTGTTCAGAGTGAAGATGAAGCTGGATGCAGCTCAGTTGATGAAGAAAGTTACAAGACTCTGAAGCAACAGGAAGAAGTATTCAGAAATCTAGATGCTCAGTATGAAATGGCAAGGTCTCAGACCCACACACAAAGAGGAATGGGGTTGGGTTTCACGTCATCGATGCGAGGAATGGATGCAGTTTGAAAAAAAGATCACACTTAATGTTTGGAACTTTCTACACTTCTGGTTCTGATGTCAGGTCCTTGTTCACCAAACAGCTAGCATTCTAGCTTGCATGGGTGTTGCATTGACTTTAATTTATTGAAAAATAACGATTTTTTTGTAAATATCAGATCAGTGATACTGGTGTTAGTGTTGTAATTAGGTTGAACCCACTTCCATTAAACTTGACAGGACTATAGAAGGACAATATTTTTTAGTTGATGAATTCTACTTTCAAAATGTGTAAAAGCTGCAGGTGGGATAAAATCTCATACATGGATTTTTTTCGTGTCCGCTGTCTTGTGTACTTTTGTACTTAACCTTGTACAGTTATTTTCATCTCTCGAAACATGAAAGTTACTTATGTTCTTTAGAAGATCTGGCCATTTGGTACATACTGGCACAAAGAAGCTGGGTGGTGATGATAATAATAAAAATGCTTTTCTCAAAACTGGTGTTAATTTAAGTTACCTGGGATTCTTATTTGAATTTGTTTTATGGTTTCTGTAGCATTTTGCGATTGCTTTTAGGAAACACTGACCAAAAAAATTTTTTTTAAAGAAAGAAACTGCTATTGGCAATTCCATAGTAAACAAAAAATGTAAAAGGAAGTTGGGAGGAGTAAACAGATTTATTAAACTCATACTGTTTTCCTACTATTATAAGGGACATAATTGGTGTACAGTATTTGTTAAATATTCCATGTTATTCAGGAAATAGATTAATACCTTAAAGGGATGTAAGCACTTTTATTTTAATAAAGTGCCTTATAACAAGTTCTTGGTATGCCCTTCGCTCATTGTCCCTATGAAGTCTTCTCCAGCATAAACTAAAGTATAAAACGGCAGAAACCACTTTGTCACTAAACTGACTTGGACATCAGTCTGGTGGAGGGCGGGGACTACAGAACTTGTAATTCATGAGCTGTCCCTAGAAAGGTCCTTTGGAGAAGGTAGTCTTTTGGAGAAGTGTCATGCTTCAGTGACAAAGTCAAATTATGGGGAAATGATAGCAAGATTTTTCATTTTGGCATCCTCACATTTTTTTCCATTTTATGTATACCTTATCAAATCAACTTCATTTGAGTCTGTTGCCCTGACTCCTGTGGTTAAGTGGGTTGAGCGTTATCCTGCAAAGTGGAAGGTCATGCCCAGGTTGCCAGCCAGGTCCCCAGCTAGGGGTGGGCAAGAGTTCTCTGATAATGCTTTCTCACAGGTTGTTCCCTCCCCTTCTCCAAAATAGCAGTATTTAAAAATTTTTTTAATAGACTCATAAAGCACATGTAACTGCTTCCAATATTTCTCTACAGTATATTAGAAGTTTGGCTTATGAATGAAATGGTCCATCCTTGACTCATCTGGAGCAGCTATTTAAAAATGAGTGGCCAAGTTTAAATGAAACTAATATCTAAAAGAGTTTTACAATGGGTATTTTTCGTTGGAGATACACATTTTTACATTCACAATTTCATACTTAAATATTTTAAATCCAGTGTGTATTTTATGTTTTGAAAAATCCTGAGACCAGCCATATGTAGTCAGGGGCAACCATATTCAACAGTGCAGACCCAGAGGGAGGCATATTGGTAATTTGTTAGTTGCATAATTTAAGAAGCAATTAATTGGAGTGAAGGGATGTGAGGCCAGTTAACTGCTTGGCTCAGTCGGAATTAAGTTTATAGGAGAAACACACTCCATAGATTTGATTTTATTAAATCTTTTTCTACCCCTTCTGGCTGTTGGGATGCTGTACATTTCAAAGCTGAAGGCCATGATGGGTGTTTTGGGTGCTACGCTTGGTAGCAGCTGAACTTGGTTGCTGTCCAGGAGACACGGGGAAGCAGGGCAGTAAAACAGCTACTCCGAGGGGAGCTAAGAGGAGCAGTGAGAGCAATTGCCTTTGAGGAGGGTAAGTTGGAAGGTGGAATAGGAATTGGTCATCGTGTATGGGTGTTGAGAACAGCATATTCAGAAGAAGTTTTCAACTTGGGTGGATTTGATTGCAAGTTTAGAAAACATACTACTTAAGAAGTAGGTTGGTGGAAGGAGATGGAAACAAGTTGCTTTATATGTCATTCCTGGTTAATCAGCTTCATGGGCCAACAAGATTTTAATTGTATATTTGATTATTTAAAAAGTAGTAATTTGCCCTGGCTGGTGTAGCTCTGGATTGAGCACGAGCCTGTGAAGCAAAGGGTCGCCAGTTCAATTCCCAGTCAGGGCACATGCCTGGGTTGCAGGCCAGGTCCTCAGTAGGGGACACACGAGAGGCAACCACACATTGGTGTTTCTCTCCCTCTCTCCTTCCCTTCCCCTCTCTCTAAAAATAAATAAAATTTAAAAAATATAATTTATTTCCCTGGTTGGTATGGCTCTGGACTGAGCACCAGCCTGCAAAATGAAGGGTCTCCAGTTCAATTTCTGGTTGGGATACATACCTGGGATGTGAGCCCCTGTATCAAACCAGTAAGCTTTTTTGCTTTCATTTTATCTATTAAATATCCTTTACTTCTAAATACCTACTCTGCCACCAGAGAAACCGTCAAGAGTTCAAACAGACTCAGCCTGAGAAATGTCAAAAAAGAAAGGTTCAAACCTGTAAGAATTTCTATGAGTTTATTTGAGCCAAACTGACGATAATTGCTAGGAAGCAAAATCTCTTCAAAGAGAAAATGCTCCGGAGGATGGCGGTTCTGCACCTTATTTTATAACATGGGAGGGAGGCAGGAGAAAGCAAAGTGGGGAAATCTCTGGGATTGGATAAAGATAAAATGAATAAACACACCTACTTTCACATAAGTGGGTGTAGGATACTTAACAACAATGAGGGAGGGGCCCTGTCATCTGCTTTGGTGGGAGATTGTGCCCTGCAGGTTCTGGAAAAGAAATTACCTGGACAGTCCAAAGGTAGATGGGAAAAAGCATTAAGACGGGCTCAGTAAAGGTAAATGATGATCTTTGTCAAAAAAAAAAAAAACCTGTCCAGGACAGCATTACCTATTATAAATTACCTTTAGTTAGAAAAATACTAGTTTTAGACCATCCTGTGTTTATTTGAGGACTCTAGTTTATAAGGCCGCCAAGCAGGCCTCCCCTGAGCTTATCAGGTTTAGTATGTGGCCCCTTCTCCCTCCACGAGATAAATCAGTATTTTAATATAGCTGTTTTTTTTTTCATAAAACGAAACAAGCCCCATAAAATGAAATAGTTTGTCCAAGATCGCAAAGGTAATCTGTGAAAAAACTGGAGTTCTTTTTTTTTTTTACTGTTTGATTACGCAAATTTCAGAAAATAAACAGATAATTCCATTATCCTAATAGTTTCTGAGTGAAGAAAATTTAATTTTAATTTATGATGACCTAAAATCCTAGTGCCAGTGGAGTTCTTAATTCTGTCCTTGCTGTTGGGCATGCACACCACAATCAGTAATAAACCACGCGTCGTGTTCCGATTTTTTATCCTTGGGTGCGTAACAAGGACAACCCGTATTGTTTTAACACGTTCTGATTAACTTGAGCTTTTTAACGCTTAAAAGGGGGCAATCCCAGCATGCAATGCAAACAATGAGCGAACAGTAGTTTAGGAACCACATGTCCCAGCATGCCATGCTCCCGCGCAACCTCGGAAGTGGGTATGGGGAAACGCCATTGCATTATGGGAACTGTAGTCTCTCAGGACTGTCCCGCCCCTTGTGCAGCTTCCGCGGCCTAGGTCTGGAGAAAACCCTACACTCGGTCGCTCAGCGCCCTAGAGCGTGGTGCCGGCCTACAACCTCTGCCCCCTGCTCGGGGGCGCCAGCTCCGCCTCTTCTCGAGTGTTTCCCACAGCCGAGGGAAATGGCGGCTGAGGTGGATTTTGGCGATTTAGAGCTGTTCGAGGCGTTTGACCACCCAGAGGAGTCGCTTCCAAAGCCCGTTCACACTCGCTTCAAGGACGAGAACGGCGACGAGGTGAACGAGAACGGGGCCGGCGACGCGGAGCTGCGGGAGCGTCTTCTGCAGTGCGAGGAAACCATCGAGCAGCTCCGCGCCGAGAATATCCTTCCGGCACGCAGGGCCCGTCACCCGGGCGCGGTGGGTGCAGAGCCCGGGAGCGCGCGGGCGGAAATTCCACGAGGGCCGCAGATCGACGTAATTTCTCTCCCCGACTGGCGGGCTGAGAACCTGGGGTTCGGGTTGCAGGAGCTGCCCCGGGGGCCTCGGCGCGACCTCTCCGCCTGTGGGTTCCGCATCCCGGACTCCACTCGCTCTACCCGGCACGCAGCCTGGGGCCAGTTTTTAGGGTTGTTTCGGACTGTTGTAGCTGTTGGATTGGAGACTGTTGGGGAGTCGTGCCGTTTCATTTTGCAGCCCAGCTAAAGTTGCTGCAGTGCTGTCCCAGTTACGCGTTAGGAGGTATCGGACCCTTACTCTTGGCGTAGACCTGTTTTGTGGGACTTCCTTTGCGAGGGGGACGCTGGGCGGATGCAAGTGGTCCTGGAATGTAGACTCGCGGGCCTTAAGGATTCCAGGGATGCAAAGGGAAGTGGTTATTCGCGTGATTAAGATTGGGGGCCAGTTTTGAAGTTTTTCCAGTTTGAAATGGCTTCCGAGGTGAAGGTGCATCGCAAAGCTTCAGGGAAAACGCGCCAAATGTTTCCATTTGGCATTATTACATAACGACAGGCTTTCTAACAAGATTTGTTAGTATGGTTATTTACAGTCTTAGGGATTAAAAAACAACAACAACTATATTTACAGATAACTTTAGTTCGGGTAGTTTTCCTTTTAGTTGTAAGGATCCCTGAAAGCGGTTGGGAAGCGGTTAGGTTTCGAAGCCTGATTTCGTTCATGCTGCCTTTTTTCTATTATGAAAAAAAAATTAAAATACAGAAGAGTTGAAAGTATCCTAGATTCCACAATCGTTTACTTTATTGCACATCATGATGTTTTTGCCTTGGAAAATTTTCTTAAGCGAGTGACTGTTTAACTGTTAATGGGACACCGTTGTTGGAATAACGTTTTTAGTTCGGTCTGTTAGTTTCTTTTGAACTACAGGACGGTATCTTCTAAATACTTTTCTCGGAAGGGATGAAAACTTAGTTTTTAGGTCCGTTCGCCCAGCCCTGCGACAAAACAGAAGTTCAGTGTGTCATTTTTAAAGTAGTTGTGTGTCTTTGAACGCAAGTATGAGAGTTTTTAGTTGGTTTCTATGATGTTCGTGAATGTTTAATGAAGGCTCGTGCTCCTTAACACGTAATAACATCAGGAACTTAGAAGGAAATTGAACATTCTGACTCGACCAAGGTATGAAATCTTGAACTTACACCACAGTTGTCCTTTACTTTTTTATCCTGGTATTAACATGTAATCCCAGTATCTTTGTAAAAAGGGTGTTTCAGGATTTTTGTTTTGTTTTCATTTGTTCAGCCTACTCTGAAGAAATCAGAAGGAATGATCCTTTATTTTTACCTTGTGGGGGTAGAATTCGAATTCTAAAATACTTGTTAAAGTACAAATGTATTACCATGTGGAGTGGTATTTTCAAGCTTTCAGAATTTGGGGCTTTTTTGTAGTAGGTACCCATGTGGGAGTGACTGGCTACACTGGTGACTTTTAAAATTGTAAACTTTTAGAATTTAGACATGTTTCAGAATACTTTACCCATGTCCTACCTTTCTTCCTCTGTGTGAGCACACTTTTATGGATCTAAACTCATTTTTAGCTAGTTATTAATCATTGAATATAACTATGACTCCTCAAAATCATACGGTATTTTGTTTAGATAAGCACCGTTTTCCGATAGAGTTGATGACTTAACATTAAACATTTATTTAAAAGTGGGTTATAATCACCTAAATTCAAATGACTATAGCATTGTAGGCTTTGCCAATTTATAAAAAGTAAGCATTAGTATCATGAAAAAATAAAAAAAATTAGAATAAATGCCCTCCAAATTGTCACAAATAAAGCATTCTACAGAAAATCAAGGAAGAAAAAGAAATAAAATCATATACGTAAAGTTTGTACCCTAAATCTCTTGGTTTTACCCTTAATTTGGAACCATCATGATCAGAAGTTTCCTTTTTTGTCCAGGAAACATTGTGTTTATTTGTGTTGTTTATATTATGAAAATTTTCAAAAAACTTGGAAAGAACAGTATAATTAATACCCATTTTTCATCACATTAACGATTAATAACAGGGTTCCGCAAAAGTAAGGCTTGCTTGAGTGTGGTTAGTAGGGTATGTGAATGTCTCGCACCAGATGGAAAGCTATTTGAACATTTCACCTAAAATGTCATATGAGGGCTTGAGTATAATGTTGTTATGTTCCAGAATTACATGCTTATTATTTTGTAATGAAAAGAGGGGGCATCATTTGTGCTGGACCCTGTATTTTTGCCATATTTTCTTCTAATCCCATATACACATTTCACCCCAAATATTTATGAGCGTGTGTCTTTTTTTAAAGTTGCTTTTTCAGTCACAGCCACACCCTTAGCACACCGAATAAGTGTCATGGTCTCCTTGATAACATTCCCAACCCAGCACCTGTTCAGATTTTCCCAGCTGATTGATCAAAATAGACGCCAACCAAAGACCTTACCATTACCTGTGGTTGGTAAAAACAGGATGTATTTTTTAAAACTGAAGTTTGCTCAGATCGAAACAGGCCTCCGAACTTTTCCGTGTTTTCCTTTCATTCCTCTACTTGTGAGAAAATTCTAAGTACATACTGACGTGTTTCACATGCCATCCAGGTAGAGGAATGTGAGGCAGGTGAGGAGGAACTAGAGGCTCAGCTGGTCCCAGGTTACCAAAGAGATGCATTGCAGGCTTGCAGGCTGCATTCCAGTTCTGGTGTTCGCAGGCTTTGAAAGTCAGATCCAGAACAGGGTGCTTTCTATGTCTGTGCTGTAGAATCTTGGATGTGAGGGGTTTTTTTAAAAGATCTTATTTATTTATCTTTAGAGGGGAAGGGAAGGAGAGAGGGAGAGAAATATCAATGTATGGTTGCCTCTTCTGCGTCCGCTGCTGGGAACTGGCCTGCAACCCAGGCATGTGCCCTGACTGGGAATCGAACCGTGATCCATTAGTTCACAGGCTCGCACTCAATCCACTGAGCTACACCAGCCAGGTCAGGGTTTGAGATATTTAGTGTAGTGTGTTCTGCCCTCCGAAAAGAACCTACCCATTTATTTATAAAGTGTTTCATTCTCCTGTATAGTTCAAAGCCACATTCACTGATTCTTACAGCAATATATTCTTGTAACCTGCTGGTTTATTTAACCCTCTCCTTCCTCTCCCCAGTTTGTAAAGAAAAAAACCAATAGGAAAAAAAAAATGTTTTGGTTGAAAACTGAAAGATTAACTTTTAATTTTTTGTGAGATATTTTTAAAAATATGTTATATCAGCTTTGCGCAGTGGCAGTATCGTAGCCAGTGAGGTTTATCCGAGGCGCGATTATTGCTAATTGAAAAATATGTTATATCAGGGATATGTATGTGTGAAACTGTACTAAGTGGCTGAAGTGGTGAGACAGATTTTTCTTGAGAAAACTGGAGTTCTTGGGGTCCCAAATCTTTAAAATATTCCATGGTCTTTGGTACATAAGGGGTACATAGGTTATTGTTTTATATGTACATGTGTAAGTTTTACTTTGACTGCTCTAAGAATATGTTTTCTTTTTTAGTGGAATATTGGTGAACAACACCAAGTTAGATGGACCTTTATTACAGATTCTATTTATGAACAATGTTATTTCAAAGTAAGTAATTTTTCCCTTTTCTAAATATAATGAATTTATGTATTTGTGAAACAATGTCTTCTACAAGAATGTTGTTTTTATTTGTACTTGTACCATGCTTATTACTTATAATCTCTGGCATCATGATGAAGCGCAAGGACATTAGAGTCACGTACACTTGAATTTGAACGTGGTCTCTTTCCACCCATGTGAACATGGGCAGATCGTTGATGCCCACTGCATACCAGTTTCTTCACAAGGAAACAGGGTATGAATAGTAACCACATCCTAGGTAGCAAAATGAGCACCTGTGAGAGCCCAATAAATAGCCTCTAATTAAAAGATAAAAAAACAAAAATAAAAGAATTGCCTCCACAACCACAACGTTAGCCACTCCTCCCCCCACGTCTGGTAACGGTTTTGCCTGTTGGCTGTCTTCAGAGCAAGACCTTTGCAAAAAGCCTTCCGGAGCGCTGGGGTCTGGTGTGACTATATCCCCACAGTGCTTCCAGACCGTTCTGAAATGCTTGCTCAGAGAATGGTGACAGACATTACAGGTCGTTGCTTGCCCCCTCCCCCTGTCACTTAAGCACGTCACCCTCTGTGCTGGGTAAGGCAAGGCAGGTCATGGGGACCGTGTACAGAGTGTCCGTTTGTGGGGGCAGGCCCATTGTCCCAGCAGAAGAGGTAGCTGAGCCCTCCGGGGTGGGGCAGCCAGACGGCGAGGGTGACAGCAGCCAGGTGCGGGGCACCAATGTCACCTTCAGATTAGAAACCACGTCCACCCCGGCCCCTGGCGGTCTAGCTTCTGCACCACTCCCCTGGTGTTTGACCGCAGACATCCGAGAATGTCGGAGGTAAAGGGACCCGACAGATCCTTGGGTCTGCGAAGAGGACGTTGGTGCCCAGCTGCAGCCCAGGCTGGGCACCTTTGGCGCCTCCTGCCCTGAGACTGAATGGAGGCCATTGGGCGAAAGTGGTTCTTGACCTGGAAAGCTGGGGAACATAGACCTCAGTACTTTCTCTCCCCTTGCATTTTTGTTTTATCCTTTTTCCGGTGTAATAGTTACATAATATTTCCTTACGAGCTCATAGAGGGTCTCTGGGAAGAGCATGTGGACAAGCGAATGCATGGGTTGCCTTGCGTGGCAGAAATAGGTGGCTGGCACCCAGGGTGGGGTGGAGGCCCCTCATTACCCAACCCTTTTACTTCTACTTAGCAAACCACTTCATGTTTTATGCACGAAAAAGCCAATACACAAAATCTGCAGATCCGTTGTTCTTAGTGCACACACTTGCTGCCTGTCTCCTGCCCAGCGCTGTGTTAGGTTATCATAATCCTTCTGTTAACTTGGCACCAGGCAGTGGTTTTTTCCTAAGGAATAGAACCGAGTGTGGCCGACAGTCAGTGACTCCACAAACCTGAGCAACAAAGTAACAAAGATTACAAGTAGTAACGGGTAAGACTTCAGCTGTTCCATGTTTTACTCTGAGTTCTGACCATTTTGTGCTCTTACGCAGGCAATATCATCAAGAAATAGAGGAATTTGTATCAAATTTAGTAAAAAGATTTGAGGAACAGCAGAAAAATGATGTGGAAAAGACTTCCTTTAACCTTTTACCCCAGGTATTTCAAACTTAAGAGACTTTGAGATTAGTAGATTGTGCTTTTCACTGCTAATTATTAGGATCCTCTTGAATCGAAACCAAAATGGCGAAGATTGTCTGCTCCCCTCCCACCTGTCAGCCGGCCTCTTCCTCGGCCCCCGTGCCCTGCCACCCCGCACAGCCCTGGGGCTGGCGTTTGGATTGCTTACCCTGGGCCCAGTGGTCAGACCCGGCTGCGCTCAGAGTCGAAGGCTTTGTTTGTTTTCATTCCCTAACTTGGACCTGGGGGTTTATGTAGAAAATTAGGTTCAAGCCAAAAAGTCTCTATTTCTGGAGATTTGTTTTTCCTAAAACCAAAAGTTTAAGCACTGTTCTCTTCTTCCCCCTTTACCCGTTTAAAGGAAAAAAAATTAATAGTGTACTCAAAGAAATCTGAGAAATTTTACTATGTGAATATTAGAGCATGAATTTATGTTTTAGAAACCAGAATTATATTTTCTGGGGCTTTTTTAAAATTAGAAATTAAAGTAAGTAGAGCCTTCCAGATAAGGATCCTTAGCTGTTTATCCTCTGAGGTTAGAGATCAGTTTTCTGATTAATGAAAATTTTAAGTCACCTTAATTATTACCTATATAGAATTTTAAAGATTTAAGAAATGGGAAATTAAAACCATACTAAATCAAAACCATTGAAGTTTTGATTTAAGGTACACTTCAGAATTTTTTAGTGGCTTGAGGTTGGTGAAAGTTACATTAGCATTGACAATGTGAAGTTGTATTTTTTAAATCTTTCTGGTTATCAGGTTGTGAGATAAACTAAAGTCTGCCTTGCCAGTTTAAGTGTTGAAAAGTTCCATAATTAATATTCATTAGCACGAAAGTCAGAGTGTATGCTAATGCTTCAGAAAATGCTATTTTGTATATCTTTTTAAATTTTTAAACTTAGCTACTTGTGAAATTTCTTTCATAAGCATTTGTACCTAGCTAAACTTAACTCACCCTAATTACTACAATTAATTCGAATTTTTATAGACCTTAGCGGTAGGTGTTAGAAAATGAGGTACGTTCAGGTGGTGACATGTCACGTGTGTCTTTCCATGTACCAGCCGTCCAGTGTCATGTTGGAAGAGGACCATAAAGTAGAGGAGCCCCGTGCCGTTAAAAACGACAAGGAAGCCTTCAGTGTAAGTTTGGACGTTTTGGAACTCCTCAGGCACCTGTTCCCGTCCTGGGTCCGCGGGGCACCACGTGAGTGACAGCGCAGTGTGTGGCACCGAGTGAGCGCGCATCTGTTCCCCGAGCTGGTTACAGACAACGGTGCAGACTTCAGCCCCTGGGTACCACGGTTCGGTGTTTACCGGCCGTTGTATCGTGACGTGGGGCACCGTGGACCTGGTCCGGCGGACTCTGTGGCCGTCTCGGTCAGCGTCTTTGTGTTTGTTTTCAAGAACTCGGAGGAAGGTGCAGAACTTATAAGTGGTTGTTGAAGTTGAGAGTGGTACAGTGAACGGCTAACTTAACCGATGGCAGATGTGAAATTTAGAATGTTGCCAGACTCAAATGACACGTGAAAAGTAGAAGTTTAACAGGGACGAGCCCGTGTTTAGGCCTCTTGAGTGCCTGTGCAGAATTTGGCAGTGTCAGTGTGATGCGGTGGCGTGATTTTGCAACTCACGATTTTTCAAAGATGATGGTGTAATCCTGGGCTCTGTTAAAGGAAGACCAGTCTGCACGTTTATGAAGCGTTAGGCTACCTTGATAATCCACGACGGTAAGGACAGGGGCCTGCTGGGCTAGTGAGGAGCCCACAGAGCCCACTGAAAGTATTCCTAAGGGGTGCCGCGTCTCTGCAGGTGTGATAAAGGCTGGTATTTGCAAAGGTGTCATTTTAGATGACCCTGTATGGTGCCAAGGGGCAGGACGAGGCCCAGTGATTCGATTGAGAACAGAAAGGCTCATTTCAACTCAGCACTGAGCAAGCAGGCGGGTGAGAAGGGAAGTGGTTTGCTAATTTTTGTAAAAGCCAATTCCGTGTTACTGGAGTCAAAGAGAGACCACGGTTTTATCGGCACTGAGAGAAGGGCTTCTGAGTTTGAACTGGATTGCTTTCGTTTCCCTTCTACACTGGGATTCTGGGGTTTAAAGTGGCAGCTGCCTGGAAACTGGAATTGTGCACACTTGTGAAATTTGTCCTTCAGTAAATACTAATAAATATTTTCTAAATGTTCCTTTGTACCAAGCATGGGCTGTCCCAGGTTGCAGGGACACAGTAAGGGGGGAAAAAGGCAAAGTCCCTGCTCTTGTTGACTTACAAACACAAAGCAGGCCAAGTAGCGGAGGGGTATCTGCCTCGTGTTGTAAGTCCTCAGTGACGGCCTCTACGTCAGACCCGAGGGTGTGCGGGAGTGACCTCACGGCCGTGTGCGTGAGCAGGGCTCCCAGAGGCAGAGGCAGACGCGTGTTGTCCACGGCGTGCCCAGTGCTGTTGTGAGCTCATCACAAAAGTTACTCGGGAGGACACTGTTCTTCGTCGCACTTCACAGACAGAAGCGGACACGACACTAAGTCACTTGCCAGCGGTCCCTCCGCTGGGGGTGGTGTGGCCGGCCTGTGAGCCCCCGCCCGTGCCCCTCCGCAGGGGCTCTGACGCCTGACGCTGCCTTACAGGCCACGGTGAGGGCTCTGGGTTTCGCTCTGAGTGGGATGAGAAGCCACTGGAGGCTTTCGAGTACAAATGTGACTTGCTATGACCTGAGTTTTCAAAAGAACTGGCTCTCTATGGAAAAGAGCCTGGAGCTGCTTGCGAATGGAAGCTGGAAGGCGGGGAGTGACTGTCCTCGTCTCAGGTGAGATGGGACAGCGGCTGAGACCAAGGTGATAGTGCAAGTGCAGTGAGAAGTGGTTTCTTTTTTTAAAAGCATTTTATTTATTTATTTCTCAAGAGGGAAGGGGTGGGGGAGAGAAACATCAGTGTGTGGTTGCCTCTTGGGCACCCCCTGCTGGGAACTGGCCTGCAGCCGAGGCACGTGCCCTGACTGGGAATCAAACAGGCGATCCTTTGGTTCACAGCCTAACCCTCGATCCGCTGAGCCAGACCAGCCAGGGCAAGAAGCGGTTTCTAACCTGGATGTACTTTGAAAGTAGAACTGATTGAGCAGGTTGACTGAATGGAGAACCTGAGAATGAGAGTAGTGAGAATGGCTCCGCTTTTCGTCCTGGGCAACTGGGAGCGTGTCCCCGCCTCTTCTGTGATGGAAGTTGCTGGAGGGGAAGCAGGGTGGGGGGTGGGAGTCCGGTGCAACAGGTGAGTGTGCGGTGCCTCCGCACGCCCAGGAGAGCTGTCACGTTGGCACGTGCCTGGGCACAGCTGGAGGTTAGGGGTGGTCAGAACCAGGCCCTGGGGATTGTCAGCATGTGAATTCCGTTTCACACCGGGGGTCTGGAGCCACCGAGAGAGTGACAGCAGAGAGGAGGACCGAGGGCTGAGCCTTACAGAGCTTGGAGAGAGGGGAAGGATCTAGCAAAGAAGACGGGCAGGATTAGCCAGCAAGGTAGGAAGAAAACCAGGAGAATGGTGTCATGGAAGCCAAGGGAGGAAGAAGTTTCTAGAAGGAAGGGATATCAGCTAATAGGTTAAGGTGAAGACAGAACTGGCCACTGAGTTTAGCTGCACAGGGGCCATGGGGTTGCCCCATTGTCAAATAACTCAGTGTCATGTTAGGAACAGAAAGAAGCCGTCTTGGATGCATTTGAGAGAATGACAGTGTCGTGTTAATTTTTAAAAGTGGGGGTCTGGTGCAGATTGAAGGAGACGAAAAAGACTGGACAGTAACGTGTGTGCACCTGTGACCCTCACTCAGATCCCGGCCTGGCGAGGAGAAAAGGTCCACAGGGCATTCTGGGAGCTCTTGGGAACAGAGATTGGGTAGCGATGGTATTAAGGAGTTAACAACTTTCTAATGGTATTGTGGTTTGTAGGAGGATGTTCTTATTTTTAGAAGGCTCGTACTGAAATATATAGGGGTGAAGTCTCAAGAAAAGTGAAGCTGGAAACCATTTAGGAAGTTACTGTATTCATCTCAGGCAAGAGAAAATAAAGCCTCAGTTTGGGTTGGGATGATGGTGGTGACTTTGTTTAAACGGCTCAGTGAAAAGTCAGTGTGAAAAATGTGAGTGTGTGTGTGTGTGAGAGAGAAGACGCGTGTACGAAACTGTCACTGAGCAATTGTTAAACGCAGATGGAGGGTACATGGGTATTCATTGCACCCTTTCTTCAACTTTTCCGTATGAAATTTGTCACAAAAAAAAAAACTGGAGGGAGAAGAAGAGAAAATGGAGTCAGTGAATGAGTGAACTTTCCTGAGCGTCCTGCTGCCAGGGAAGCGAAGAAAGGGGAACTGGAGGGAGAATTGAGGGCTTGGAGAGCATCGATTTTTAAAGTCTGGAGAGGGTGCAGCCAAGGGCGCAGAGCTCGGGGGAGGACTCCGCGGAGGAGGAGGTGCAGGGAACCGGATCGACGGATCGACGGAGGCCGCTCTTAACTCTCGCAGCAAAATCTGGCTCCCGTAACCAGGGAGTTGATAATTATTTCTAATAATTTCATCCAAAATAAGTTGTTGAAGCAATCATAGTCTTGCAGTATTTAATGTGTTTTTCCCCCCTGCTTAAATAGCAATATTTTTTGACTTGTTTTCTGCAGGTTGTAGGAAGTGTCCTGTATTTTACTAATTTTTGCCTTGATAAATTGGGGCAACCGCTACTAAATGAAAACCCTCAGCTTACGGAAGGATGGGAAATACCCAAGTATCCTACATAGTGAATGAAGATCTTTTATGCATCTTGCCATTAAATCACCTTTAAAAAAATGTTACCACATTTTGCAGACTATGATAACCATTCCTTAATAACATTCACTAAAGGTACCAGCAAGTCTTCAGCCACATTGTTTCTCTAGAAGGGCAAGAAATACAAGTAAAGGCAAAAAGGTTTGTGTGGGGAGCGGTTTTTGTTTTCTTCTTTTTGCTTTGTAACCAAATCATAAAGTCTTTTAGCTTGAAACATTAATGTTCTCTATTGCTGGCTTACTATAAATAAATTACAGGTTAAGCTGTAACTTTAATGCATAGACCTATGTTAACTGTTTAAATTGATCATCTGTTTATGGGAATCCATTGGTTCATGCTAATGTGTGTGGGCGGGTGGAAAGGTTTAACTGTTGCTGTCGGTGTGTTGCTGTCTTAAAGTCCCCTGCCCCTTTCCCTGAGCCTAAAGGTCCGTTTGCCTCGGTTCTTCTAGTGAGAAACGCTGACAGAACCCGGAGGTAACAGACCCGTTGGGAGCATCGGGTTTTGGTTAAAAGTGCTGTCCGTCTGAGTCACTGAGTGCGGGAGGTGGAAGTGCACGCACGGCAGAGCTCACTAGTCTGGGGTCGGCCTGCTTTCTTCTCTCCGGTGCACTTTACCGTCGTCTGGGATGTTATCCATTTGCTTTTGTACTTTCATTTACATTATGACATGTTTGTCTTTTGACCAAATAGGCCAAAGCCTCACTGTTTCAACTGTGGGTCCGAAGAACATCAAATGAAAGATTGCCCGATGGTAAGTGTTTCTCCTATAAAAAAATATCTTGGAACCAGAGCTTTCTGGTGTTTTCTGTGTTTATCTGTGGCATAGTGTGTGGTGAAGAACCTGCCTGCGTTAATTTCCCGTGGACCTTAAATTTGACGTTTCTTTTTTTTTCAAATTCATACTTAAATTTCAAGGCATTAGATTTTTTGAAAAATTTAGTACAGTGCTCTGTATTTGAGATGAATGAGCATTAGGAGAGTTAGTTTTCAGACAGTTTCTTCTAAAAACTTGATTTTGTTATAATTTGAGATAATAAGAACCTAAAATGACTGATTCTTTTTCTTGCTTATTTTTATAAAATATGCACTGTTGCTTGTCACTTGTCACTTATACATTAAAACCAAAATAATCTGCTTGCCCTAAAGTGCTCATTATTTATTTAATTTCCAAAATATGGGGTCCGGCAGAAGTAAAGCTCGCTGGAGTGTGGTTGGTAGGATTGGTAATGATGATAGTGTTAATTTGAACATTTCACCTAAAATATCAGTCATATGGTGTGCTTGAGTGTGGTATTATTATGTTACAGAATTACATGCTTATGATTTTGTAATGAAAACAAGGGGCGTCACTTGTGCCAGACTGTGTATTTCTAAAGTGCTTGACATCATTCTTCTCCAACGTGTTGCGATCTAGCCCCGGAACGCCGCCCGCATCAGCGAGAAGAGGAAGGAGTACCTGGACGCCTGCGGGGAGGCCAGCGGCCAGGGCTCCCAGCAGCGCTACCACACGGACGAGGTGGAGGAGCGCTTTGGGAGGTTCAAGCCCGGGGTCATCAGGTACCTCTTCTCAGTGTGCCGTGGGAGCTCCTTGCCATTGTCTCCCCAGGGTTTGAAACAGTCTGTGTTTTTAGGGTGATTATCAGTAGATACGTTTTCTCTAGCAAGGCTCCAGATAATGTACATCAGTTCATTTGAAAATGTTCCCTGAAGTCTGAACCAGATGAGGTCTGTCCGGAAGGTATCCAGCCACGTAATGTAAAAAAAAAAAGTGACATTTATTGAAGAAGATACAAGAAACAAGAAACATTGTACAGAGTACAGTGACGCCTCAGTCCCCTTAAAGTAGTCCCCTTGACACCTCACACAGTTCTCCCGGTCGCCGTCAGCTGCCCCATCGTATTTTCCTGAGTCTCACTGACAGTCTGAAATCTCTTCCCTTTCAAAGGTGTCTTTAGTTCGGGGAAAAGTGAAGGTCAAAGGGCACCACCTCTGGGCTGTAGCGGGGCTAGAGCCCAAGTCACCTGGGGGGGTTGATGTTTCACCAGAAACCTGCACGAGACGGGATGCACGAGCCAGTGCGTTGTCGTGGTGAAGCTGCCGGTCACCAGTTGCCCTTAGCTGTGGCCTTCGGAGTCATCCGAATCATTTTTGTGCAGGAAGTTCAAGGTTAACGCACAATTTGACGCGAACTCGTTGTTCTCCTCAGTCATTTGAATGCGATGGCCACACAGTGCACACGCTCAGTCAAGGGCGTCTACCGCCCCCTGATTCGTTCAGTGAAGTCGTCATTGGTCACACTTGCACATTCCCGTCCCCTCTCCTTGGCCACAAGGTTGCATCAGTGTCATGCAGACTGTTCTCTTATATTAACAAGTGGCTCGTATATATTTTTTAAAGATTTTATTTATCTTTAGAGGAGAAGGGAAGGAGAGAGAGAGAGAAATATCAATGTACAGTTGCCTCTTGTGCATCCTCTGCTGGGAACTAGCCTGCAGCCCAGGCATGTGCCCTGACTGGGAATCGAACCACAACCCTTTGGGTCGCAGGCCTGCGCTCAGTCCCCTGAGCTGCACCAGCCAGGGCCAGACCTCGTCTACTTGATAGGCACCAGTCACCAGCTGTGTAATGGGAGACAGAATTGTTTTAAAACATCGGATCAGTATGTGTTTTCATCCAAACTAGACTACAGTATTTTTTCTTCCTCTCTTACTTAGTGAGGAACTTCAGGATGCCCTGGGTGTGACGGACAAGAGCCTTCCGCCTTTTATATATCGAATGCGCCAGCTGGGATACCCGCCGGGATGGCTCAAAGAGGCCGAACTGGAGAACTCAGGGCTTGCGCTCTATGACGGAAAAGGTAACGTTGGGTTAGGTGAGTCACCCGGTGTCTGGCAGCCCCCACCTGGTGCTTCAGACACGTTGCAGTCCAAGAGCAGTGCTCGCGCGTGACTGCGGGCGGGCGCCGTCGGGGGCGGCGTGCAGCCTGGAGAGGGCCGACCCGGCGTCTGGCGTGTTAACTCCTTCCCTGGTCTGCGGCAGATGGTGCTGATGGGGAGACAGAAGCTGGAGAAATTCAGCAGAATCAAAACGTCACTTACGATCTCTCGAAATTGGTAAACTATCCAGGTTTTAACATCTCTACTCCCAGAGGCATTCCAGATGTAAGTATATTGGGTTTTTTAATTGTTTTGAGATGTGCAGATTATTTAAAATGTTAGCTAATATAGCAATTACTGTTACATAAAGAAGTAAATACGTTACTTAAGTGTTTAACTTTTTAATTTGCTTTATGTTGACTAGAATCTTAAGTGAAATCTTAGGTTCATCAAAAAAGAAAAAGCCCACAGTAGTTTTTTAAAAATTTTATGCTCTAAGGAAAGGAACTAAAATGGAATAGTTAAATTCTGTAAATCTAAAGTTACTCTAAAACTTTAAAAATTATTTTTTTGAAATACGGGATGATTCTGAGGCAGTATTACAAGTTTACAGAACTCCTTGGAAAATGAATTTCTGCCTTTGATAAATCTAAGTGTGCCATTACTTTTTCCTATTCTTTCTTCCTTTTTTTCCCCCTCAAAGCCAAACCTCTCAGTCTGTGAGAACGGCTCCTGCACTATTACTCTTTTCCACTCTCATGGACCAGAGTTCAGCAGTTAACTATTGTGATGGCATCAGCAGTGTTTTAATTTAAAAAAGAAATGCACAGGCTACTCTGATGGCTGAATCGCATGGTACAAGCCATCGGTGCCTCTGCACGTGGGTCCAAGACCCAGCGCCCCCTGGCATCCCCTCAGGGTGCCCGCAGCCCCCCTTACACCTAACCAACCATGGTCCCTGGAATCTGTAGGTTTGACAAGCGCCAGGGCGACCCTTAGTGACGGTCACTGTTGAGTGTGCTATGGGTGAACAGAGAAATGCTGAACCTTGCAGAGGAGCGCTCAGTTTGGAAAGGGAGGGGGCAGGAGGTGGAAAAGTCTGCAGAGGAAATGTGTGAGGAGCAGTGAGCATGGAGGGCGGCTCAGGCCCGCCGGGCCTGGCAGTACCATCTTCGTGTTGTAAGCAGGACATTCGGGGGCCGGCGAGTGTCAGGCTGTCTGTCTTTTAGTATTCAGTCCTGATCGTTCTGTAGGCAGAGTGGAGGTTTTTTTCCTTCAAGGCACCATTATTTTCATGAATTCACCCAGAAAGGAAAAGTCGAATACGAAGCAGAAATGAAATTTGAGACCTCTCTCTGCTGTACCTCCTTTGAACAAAATCTCAAAGCGTGAGATTTACTTTTCCTTGTCTTCGCTTTGTTAGGAATGGAGGATGTTTGGTTCCATACCGATGCAGGCCTCTCAGCAGAAGGACGTATTTGCCAATTACCTTACTTCTAACTTCCAAGCGGTAAAGAGACTTTCCGGGGGCCCTCTATAAATGCACGTGTCTGTGGGATTTTGTGATGTGTTAGCATCTTACTGCCTCTCTTGCTTTGTATAAAAGCTCTCTTTGTTTTCTGATAACTCAGAAGGAAAGAGGTAGCTATATTCACCAGTCACCCAGACTTGGCCCTAGATTGGTTTTCTGCATCATATTTAAGTGACAGGACGGAGTTTCAGCCCTTGCCCCCCCCCACCCCACCCCCGTCTGACTGAGGTTTGGTTCTTCCGTTAGCCGATCGCGAGGTCTGGCTCCAAGCGGCCTGCATCTCAGCCCAGCAGCCCCAAGAAGCAGAGGAAGGAAAGCAGCTCGGCCTCCCCCGCCGACATGGAGCTCGACTCTGGTAGGTTTCGCGTCATGTTTCGCTCTCCTTGACGAGGTGGGAGGGGTTCGTACGCCCCTGGGTTCTGTAAGAAAGCGGAGCTCCTGTTGAGCACCAGCTGAACAGGAACCACTGACCAGGAGCTCTCTTGTTTCATCCTCCGAGACCCGAGCTTCAGCACTGCTGCCGATGATCAGGGCTGGGCGGGAAAGCACAGCTTGGCGTGAGGGGTGAGTGGGTCCGCGAGCTGACTCCCAAGTTAGGCAGACCTGGGTCTCTGGTCACGCAGTCTCCGTGGGTGGGCAGCGCGGAGACAGGTGGGAAGTGTCCCCTTTGGCAGCTCGGTCCACCAGGAAGGAGGGCAGACCTGAGCCAGGCTTCCCGGTTACTCTTCCCAACTCTTCTGTTTTGTTTTGCCTTTTTACTGGATTTATTGGGGTGACATTTAACAAAATGATGGTTTCAGGTGTACAGTCCTATAACACATCTGTATGTTGTATATTGCATATTGTATTTTATATCTGTATATTGTATTGTATTGTATTGTATTGTATGTTCACCACTGCAAGTCCCGCCAACTTTGTTAATTCAGTAAGCCCCCCCCCCCCCCCCCCCAGGAAAGAGAGACCAGGAGGAAAGTCTGTCCCACGGGAAACCCAAGACAGAGCTAGGCCTTGCCCTTCGACTCCCCCAGCTTTCTGTTCTCCAAACCCTGTGGGCTGGCTCGTGGGGCCTGGTCAGACAGGACCAAGCGGTTCTTTCCCAGCAGGTCAGCGGTGTATCAGGGCAGAGTCCCTGCCCCTGCTTCCAGAACCTTTGGGTTTCCCTCTGGTTCTGATGAGTAGATTTTGTCCCCAGAAGGCTCTGGAATGAATGGATCAGAACTTTGCGTTACTTAGAGAAACTCCAAGGCCACTCTGAATCCAAGATTGAAATTCGTTCCTTAGGCTGTTTTCCATCCTGCAATCTGCCTAGCTGCTTTGGGCCCGTATCGCACGTTGGAGGTCCTGAAGTGAGATTAAGGGGCTGCATTAAGATAAAATGCATGCAGGTATTCTAATAATAAGACGTCGGCAGTATAAATTGCCCCAAACTTGAATGTGAAAGTCCCCCTTCCCCATTTTTAAATTCCAAAGGAGAATTTAAAGTGGAATTTTCTTAAGTCCAACGGAATTCGAGTCCAAAGTCAAATTGTTTTGTGTGAGCGGCCTCCAAGTCGAAAATCGAAGCCCCCGCACCATTTTCCCCAGTCGCTTACTCTGCTTGGTCTCAACCACAGGAGTTTCTGATGCCTGAGCAGAGCTCACAGGCTGGGCTTCCGGCATGTGTGGCCTCACTTTCATCACTGCTGAGAAGCTCACAGGAGAACGGAATTGTACAGTCTTTGGAAATTACCTGGGAAATTTTGTAAACAAGCCATGTCCCCAAACCTGGAAGCACTTGTCCAGGGCCGAATCACACTCCAGAGCCCAGCATGTCTCAGTGTCAGCAAAGGCCAGAGCCAAGGTTTCAGGGCGAAGGCAGGAACCAGGAACCTTGTTAATGCCGTTGTTACTTTTTTAAAAAATATTTTATTTATTTATTGTTTACTTTTTTAGAGAGGTGGAAGGGAGGGAGAAAGAGAGAAACATCAATATGCAAGAGAAACATCAATCAGTTGCCTCTCACGTGCCCCCAAATGGAGACCTGGCCCCCGGCCCAGGCATGTGCCCTGACCGGGAATCTAACCGGTGACCCTCAGGTTTTTACAAGAAGATGCCCAACCCGCTGAGCCGCACCAGTCAGGGTGCAGTGGCCATGTTACTCTGTAGTGACCCCCGGCTGAGCAACCCGCCCACTCTGAACCTCAGCCCTCCATTTCCTAGCCAGTCACTGGCACACTAACAGTGTTTCCACAGTTGCTTTTCTCTCTTACCTGGTTGCTCTTGGTGGCCTTAGAACTGATGTGGGGTTTTGTTTTTTGCATCCTTGCAGCTTTCTTCCATTCTTTGCTCTCCTGAACACATTGATTTTTTAAAATTTTTAATTTATTTTTAAAGAGAGGGGAAAGGAAAGAGGGAGAGGTTGCCTCTCTGTCTTTGTGTGGTTGCCTCTCATGTGCCCCCCACTGGGGACGTGACCTGCAACCCAGGCATGTGCCCTGACTGGGAATCGAACCAGTGACACTTTGGTTCACAGACTGGTACTCAATCCACTGAGCCACAACAGCCAGGGCGGATTTCTTAAAGTCTGAGTGACAGCCCCACTCAGTCTGAGTAATTGAGGGACAGTCACCCTCCTCCCAGAGCTCACTGCCTGTGCAGTGTGGTGCACACTGGTCCCGGTCACGGTCACGGTCACGGTCCCGTGTCAGCCAGCCGCGTTTCCCGAGGTGTTTAAACGCGTGCTGTTCCAGACCGCGCCGCACACCCCAGGGCCGGGAAGACGTGTGAGACACAGCTGCTGCCCTCAGGACTGCTCTCTGCCGCCCGGGGTTGCCTGTGCCACGCGCTGCTTCAGTAGCGATGAGCCAGCCCCAGTGGTGCACGCAGGGCCCAAGGGTCACGTGGTGCTGCCACCGAGCTGGGCACCGACGGCATTGGGTCACTGAGCAGCTATGCTGAAGTCACACCTTTGCCCCGAGTGGCCTTGAGCAACCCCTGTGGGTTGAATTCGGGGGGTTACCTGGGCGTTGAGCGGCATCAGGGCTTTTGGGACGGTGGGAGGTGCAAATGCAGGCGGACGCAGTGTCACTCATCCGGCTGACAACAGACTGACACCTGGAGTTTAACCGGGAGGAGAGAAATGGCTTGGCAGAAGTAGGTAAATTCTTGGTCATCAAGGGCCTTGAGGACACTGGATGTCATCTTGTAGGGGATGGGGAGGCACTAGAGGCTTTCTCGTGCGGAGGGAAGGACCAGATTTGTTTCAGAGTGAAGGCTTGCGGGGAGGGCAGACACAAGGAAGCGGAGTCCAGAGGCCGAGCCATCTGTGCTATTCCTGGCAAACAGGCATGGCCTGGAGTAACGTAGTGGCTGTGACCGTCTCTACAGGACAGCGGACCCCAGAGAGCCAAGGACTTGGGTGTGGCAGGTCCTCAGGAGGACCCCCAGGTGACTAGCAGGTTTCGGGTTTGGAGTCTCTGCCCAGGTACCGTCGCTGGTGCCCCTGGTGAGAACAGCAAATAGGAGCAAGTTCCGACTTTAGAAAGAGACCCTTTGGTTTGGACAGGTTGACTCTGTTGTGTCCAGCGTCTGTGGGCCATCTCAGTGGTGTTGACAGTGACCGGTGAGCTGTGCGAACCCACAGTGCCAACAAACAGTCCAGACTGGAGACTCTGAATTAGGAAATGAGCCAGGGGGTCGTCCTGTCTCGCCTGCTCGCCTTTGTCTCTGCCGGCGCTCCCTGCTCGGCGGTCAGGCCAACCCCCACTTCCGGCCAGGCGTTCTGAGTGCTTCCACGAACCGTCTTCCGTTTCAGCAGACTGCCTGGTATTGCTCTGTGCCCGTGCTGCTGTCCCCAGCGCCCAGCTCTAAAACGGCGCACGCGGCATGAACACGGACTTCCCAGGGGGTGGTTAAAGCTGCCGGCGCCAGCAGGTCCCGCAGCCCTCCCTGCAGGTGTCCTTTTCATGGCGTGAGGACCCACCGAGTCTTCCCCTCAAGCCAGTTGTTTTCGGCCATTGAACCTCCGACCACCCCTGAGTTCAAGTACAATAATACGTGTTAACTTTCTTATTTCAGATGCAGAGGTCCCACATGCTTCTCCGGGCGGGGAGGCGGTCCGGTTTCAGCCCCCGTTGCCCCCTGGCACTCCTCCCCCGCTGCCACGGGCCACTCCTCCCCACACCTTCACGCCTCCGCTCCCCAAGGGCACCCCGCCGCTGACCCCCAATGACTCGCCCAAGACCAGGACGGCGCCCACGCCCATGGACGAGGACACCCTGACTCTGGAGGAACTGGAAGAGCAGCAGAGGCGGATCTGGGCGGCCCTGGAGCAGGCCGATGGCATGAACAGCGATTCTGATGTTCCCGTGGACACACCTTTAACTGGAGATTCGGTCGCCTCCTCACCTTGTCCGAACGAGCTGGACGCCGCTGTCCCAGAAGGCAGACCCTCTGGCAAGCAGGTGCCAGGGGAGCTCGAGGGACCGGACACTCGCACGAAGAAGTCGGACGTCGACCATTCCTCGAGTCCAGAGTCCGAGGTGACCCTGCTTTGTGAGAAGGACAAGGAAGAGCCTGCTCAGATAGACTCCTTGGGTGCCCTTGATAATGGCGGTGCCGTGTCGAACTGTGATGTGAGCAATGGAGGCGGCCAGCGGCTCCTGCCCATGGACACCAGTCCTTCCACAGCCACTAAAGTCCACAGTCCCATCCCCGACATGAGCAAGTTCGCAACGGGAATCACGCCGTTCGAGTTCGAGAATATGGCCGAATCTACTGGAATGTACCTCAGGATAAGAAGCCTGTTAAAGAACTCACCCCGAAACCAGCAGAAAAACAAGAAGACTCCTGAATAACTGCCTGACATGCATCGAGATTCCAGTCATTGGTACCAAGTGGCTGCATAAAATTGTCTTCCTGTCTGTCCTTCCCGTGTTTAAAACTCAACCCAGGGCTTCTTTGTGGCCTGATGTCAGGCCTGTTTTAATGAATGGAATGATCGGGCTGGTTTCCTCTATTTTTATTCTCACTGATGGGAACGTGGGGGGGAGTGTGAGTATGAGCCGCTCTAGATCTAGTTTGTTAAGGTTTATACTATTTTTGGATTGTGAGTGTCCGCCAAGAGTGATGGTTTTTATCTGTCTTTTGTACATTGTTTTTCCCTTTCTACATTTTGCTAATTAATAAGTTTAATATATCACTTTTTAAAAAAAGTCTAACCATTTAAAATTCATATTTCAACTTCAACAACCAAATGAGAAAAATCAGGGATGAGCAGCTTTACCCCCCTGGGGGGTATTTTTGTAAGTGATTTACATGCATCAATTTTAATGACTTACTTTTTTTGTAACTTCATTCTTCATATGAGCTTGCTGTACAGGTATGTTCATCTTTGTGTACAGAGGTTTAATAAATTAGTTTTCATGTACATAATCTAAGACTTTGAATACAAAAAAAGTGACTCACAGTTAAATCAGTATATAAAACCCCGTAAATTTGGAAGTAAATTAGGTGGTTACAAAAATTAGTGAAAATATAAAGGGAAAAAAAGCAAGGGAAGTATAAGACACTGCAAATTTGATATTTTCAGTGGACTTCAGCCTTAAATATAGAAGCAGCAGAATCGTGAAGTAACCATTTTGGAAAAAAATGAACGGCGGCCAGTACAAAAACAGAAATTTCTAGACTTGAACCCCACGATAATTAATGGTTAAAAATAGAAAGCAGACAAAAAAAATTGCTTTTAATTGTCAGATCTCTAAAAGAGCTAAAACTATGGTTTTTGTCTTTATGTGGAATGGTGTTACATCTTTACAGTCAAGTTCATGAAAACATTTAGATGATCTTGAACTGTTAGTCTCAATACAGAGTAGGGCAAAAGTCGGTTTACAGCTGTGAGTGCGTGAGTTTATTCTCACATTATTATTTATCATTGTATCTTCCATAGAAACGACTGTGAACCTACATTTACCCCCCTCATGCCCCCTCCCCCCTTGTTATCCTCTCGGACCAGCAGAGGGAGCTAAACACAACCATTCTGGGTTTAGCTTTCATCTGGAGAACTTGCGCAGTCAAATTGACTGTTGTATAAACAGTGGAGGGAAGGGAAATTATATGAGAGGGGGAAGTGTATTCGTCAAGGCCCTCACAGACCAGGCTGGAAATTGAGTAAAATGTTAGGTACTTTCAGCCTTTTTCTCTGAGTTGAAGTATGTAATGAAAGTGACCCCTTTGTGATCTTACTCAAGTGTTTCTATCAGATAAATGTAGCGTCGCCAAGTAAGTCTGTAAGGAAACTTTGGGGCCATGGAAACATCGCTATGGAGCAGTTACCGGGACTCGGGGGCATCCCAGCTGCGGCGACCGGGCGGCAGTGTCCCCTGAAACGTCGTGTTAGCGGAGGCCCCTCTGAACACCCGGGCGGCCCCCCAGCTGCCTCCTGGGCCCTGGCCGCAGGCCTCACGCACAGGTACTGCCCTGCTTTGCCCCGTCTGCACAACTTCCGTGTTGCGTAACGTGTCGCTCCGCTCACCTTTCAGAGGAAAGGCCTCGGACACACAGCTGGTAAGTAGCCCAGTGGGTCTAAATCCAGACCCTTCTGGCTTGCCCCCCATCCGTGTGTTAACCGATGGACTGCCTCCCTGTCAAACCCTGGAAAACCCCTGGTTTCTCCAGAAAATTGGCTCCTGATTCTTGATTTACTCAGTTATGTCTTGAAAAACACAGGATACGTTGTCACTGTACTGCTCAGAGAAGACAATGAGCTACCATTGGGCACTGAAAGAAGGCGACGGTATGTACGCCGCGCCTGGTGTGACTCAGTGAAGGGTCGCTGGTCCGAATCCCAGGCAGGGCACGTGCCTGGGTTGCAGGCCAGATCCCCGGTTGGGGGTGTGTGAGAAGCAACTGATCGATGTATGTCTTTCTCCCTTCCTTCCCTTCTCTCTAAAAGAAGTGAATAAAATCTTTTTAAAAAAAAAGACTACAGTGGGAGAATCTGCTTTAGTGGGAGAAGATGATGATGGTCCCTTGTTCATGAGGAGACTATTCAGTGTCCTGGCAGGGGGGCCAGGCACCCGGGTTATTGTGGGAAAAACTGCTCTGTGATGGCAAGACCCACAGGGTGTGGGTTCAAGTTTGTTTGGGGGGGTGTTTGAAGACTCCAGGAAAGAGCTTTGAGCTAATCCTTAAAGGGTAGATAGGATTTCCATAGATAATGAGCCCTGAAATGTACCGGGAATCCCATGATTAAAACAAGCACTCAGGAAGGTAGGAGGGTCGAAAGAGACTTAAAAGGGTTGTGTATTCACTGACGCTGAGAACTCTTGATTGCTTTACTATGAGGTTTGAATTTTATGAAGGAAAACAATTGAGAGATTTCCCCAGGGCAGTGTATGTACTCACTGAAAACATCCGAGAGGTGTTTCAGGAAGAGAAACCCAGCCGCAGAGCGCAGGGTGATGGGGAGGAAGGAGACATTTTGCAGGAGGAAGCCCAGAAAAATGGGAAGGCGCTGCCTTCCGAAGGCGCCCCATTTATAAGATTCCTCTGCCTCTGTATCTGAGGATGCTGCAGAGTGCGGGGTGGAGGAGCGAGGCGCGTTTGGACTTGAGCATGCTGTGGCAGGTCTCCGGGTGTGGGAGGGTGAGGTCATAACCAAACCCTTGCACTTCAGGATTGGGGTGGGGACCTCAGGGGTGGGGACCAGTTTCTCATGTTTGCCTGGGGTTGAAAGGAATGTGCAGACTGCAATACACAGGTTGCTAAGACAAAGCCAGCTCTTTGTCACCTCCTTGAAGAGGTAAATGGAAAGGCTTACTAAAATACCAGATGACCAATTTCTTCTTTTAAAAAAAGACTGCATTTCTGTAAGTGGTCAAAAATTAGGCCTGCGTTCTCCCAACGAGAGGTTTCTCCTAGTTGGTTCTATCCTTCAAGTTCTCTGCTGGACTCATGTGGCCCTTCTGTCCCACACTGCGTAGATTGCCACTAAGGAGGTCAAACCAGCAAGGGTGCTGTGACAACGGTGAATTCCCAGGTGGCTTGTCAGGCCAGGACCTCCGTCCACACAACCTGGGTTTTCCTTAAGCATTGAGAATTCGTTTCCCTTTAATATATTTGTTTGACTTAATGGTATGAATTGACTTTGAAACGTTTAGCAGTAAATTATTTTGTTAAAATATTTATAGTTTTTGGTTACATCGGCGTTACTATATTCTTAATAAACTGGAAGTCTCAGAACAAGTACGCTTTGTAACACACCAACAAATCTAGGCAAAATGTTGGAATATTGCAGTGTGAAGGGGGCGGGAGTGACAGCCGTCCTCCCCCACAACTCAAAAAAAAAGGATATGGGGGGAGGTCTCCAAAAGAAATAGCTCCATTAGTGAGGTGGGGACGATGAGGCCACAAAATGAAAATGAAAGAACACTTTCCTTACAGGGTGTCTTGCACAGCGTGTCTTTGCGAGATGCACTTGGACTTTGGATTCAGAAAACAGCCTCTCTGTGAAAGTCACATCTCGCGCCCTTCCATCAGCCGCTGTTAACCATCTAGGCGTTAGAGCCCACCTTTAGCGCATGTTCGTTAGCAGTTCAATTATACCTTTTGATAACCACTTAGAGAGTAAATTAAGATACCTTATTTTTCTTTGTTTAAAATGCTTGTATTTTAAATTGTAAGCAGGAGGAGTAACGAAGTCATGCATTTGACGGAAAATAACCCGTAGGAAGGAAGCCCATGCCATTTTCCTTCGTACCAAAATTTATTTTCTCACTAGGCTGCTTTCTAAACCTAAAACATTATTCTTTTTCCCCAAAATGGGAATTCTTGATTCTGATATAAATGTAATACATATTTGTTTTATAAGTGCAAAAGTCCTTTATATGTATAATCAAAAGTTTCAGTACCCATTGTTCATTGTTCACAGTTTGGCGTAACTTTTCCTGCGCAAATGCTAAGATTTTTTTTTTTTTTCAGTATTTTCCTATAGGTGAGTCTTACTAGTGTGTTTTTCCCCCAAAGATTTAATTTCTTTTTTAGACAGAGGGGAAGAGAGGGAGAGAAAAAACATCAGTGTGTGGTTGCCTCTTGCACGCCCCCTACTGAGGGCCTCGTTGCAACCCAGGCATGTGCCCTGACAAGGAACTGAACCAGTGACCCTTTGGTTCACAGGCCAACATTCAATCCACTGAGCCACACCAGCCAGGTAGTCTTACAAGTGTGTTTTAACAAAAGTGGGATTATGCTACACTTTCCTCGCCAACCAGGATTTGAAATTTTAAAAAAGATTTTATTTATCTTTTGAGAGAGGAAAACATCAGTGTGAGGTTGAAATCTATTATTCTCAGTGGCTGCGTAGTAGCACACAGTATTTTATCCAGTATTGTTTACAATACGTTGTTACTGCTGCAGTGAACTTTTAGAAAGGTACATCTTTGAATATTGGTGGAAATATCTGTGTAGGATGCATTCCCAGACTATTGGGTCGAATATTGTATCTTATTGGCAATTTTTATTTCTCCCGTGACTTGTCTTTATATCCTTGCTCATTGTTCTTTTGGTTTACTTAATGACACCTAGGAACTCTCTATTAAAAATATATATATTCCACCCTGGCTGGTGTAGCTCAGTGGATTGAGCATGAGCCTGCGAACCAGACAATGGCGGTTCGATTCCCAGTCAGGGCACATGCCTGGGTTGCAGGCTGGTTCCCTGCAGGCCAGTTCCCAGCAGGGGACGCACGAAAGGCAACCGTACATTGATGTTTCTCTCCCTCTCTCCTTCCCTTCCCCTCTAAAGATAGATAAATAAAATCTTTTTAAAAAAATTTAAAAAAATTAAAAATATATACAGATATTCCATTAAGTACGCTGCAAAACTATGTCTGCGATTTGTCACGTATTTTTTACTTGTTCATGGCACCTTTTGCACCTACACAAGTGTCAAATGGCTTCGTGTCAAATCTTTGAACTGTCCTTTATGAATTGGCGATTTTAGCATGATGGTCTATTTACAAAATAATCTTTGTTTTGCAAATTCACCATCTGATATCCACTGATGCGGTTACTGACTGAAACTGGTGTTGAAAATTGACTTCCTCCCCCAGAATTTAAATGAGGTTCCCAGTAAGACAGTCTCCCCCTTGCAGCTCGCGAAGCTGACATTCGTGTGGGTGGTTTTGCTAATTACTGTCCAAATTCAGTTCACTATCCCCTAACTTATCACTATATTGTAGATTTTCTTTGAATAAACTGGAAAGACAATGACTGTTTTTCCTTTCATTGGATTTTTAAAAAAAGATTTTATTTATTTATCTTAAAAGGGGAAGGGAAGGAGAGAGGGAGAGAATATCAATGTATGGTTGCATCTTGTGTGTCCCCTGCTGGGACCTGGCCTGCAACCCAGACATGTGCCCTGACTGGGAATCGAACCGCGATCCTGTGGTTCGCAGGCCGGCACTCAATCCACTGAGCTACACCAGCCAGGGCTCATTGGATTTTTTTAAACATATGGATTAATGGGGGAAAATCTAGAAAGAATGACTGTGACAGAATGACAAAAAATGTTTAACCTAACCAAAAGAAAATGGATCATGCAAAGAAAAGTTATGATTCTGATTTTTTTTTCTTTTGAGAACTTTTATAAGAGTTTATTTGAGCCAAAATTTGACAACGGTTGCCACGGAGCAAGCTCTCAAATGCTCTGATCCTACTCTTTCCATTATTATGTCTGTGGTGGTGGGAAATTCTAACACATCGCAAATTCTAGACGTCAGAAACGCATTTTCTAAACTAAATGAACTCTCCACAGGCTGACGACACTTGGAATGTTTCTAATACAAGGACTTCACTAAAAACGCAGGCCGTAAACCCTGACTCAGCCTTCTGCCGTTCAAGGTCGCGTGCCCGCAGGGGTGATGTCATGAGGGAGCGAATTCCCAGTGCTTTCACTGGGAGGGAGGTGAAAGGCCAGAGGCCAGTTCTTCAGTCATAACTGAGGAATGACACATGAAATATTTGACACGAGACCCACCAGGACAGGCTGTGGGGTTGGGCCCAGGGCGCATTTCTCCTCAAACCCATTTCCTTCTGTTCTGCCCCCGCCTTGCGTGCCTGTGCTGGTGGTTGACTCTCCAAACCGGTTCCCATCTGTCGTATTGGTCCAGACCAAACTTTTTATATGCGGGCCTGTGGCAGGATACTGAGGCCATGCTAGCCAGGGGACTGGAAGCTAGTAACGGTTTCATGTGGACAGTCAGCGACCAGGACGCGCAGAGCAGGCCTGTGTGGCGAGCAGAACGCGTTGTCTATCATTTATAAGTGAAAGAAATGTCTGAGTTTCTCCAAATGCTGCCCGAAAGTCTGGGGACTTGGCAGTAAGAACCTGCCTGAGGGCTTCCCCGATGGCCCTTCGATGACAGCGAACAGAGCGGAGGTCCCTCATGAGGCCTGCCGGGGCATTTGCTCCGGCCGCTTCCTCACTCCGACCCCTTGTCCCTAGAAATCCAGCTGTCCTGACCCCCTTCAAGTCCACGCTTAAATCTCACCTTCTAGGTGACCCCACCTTAACCACCTGATATAAACCTCTCCACACACAACACACACGCACCACCCAGTCACTCCCCCTCTCCCTGGAGCTACATTTTCCCAAGTAGCACTTTCTACTCTGTTACTTAGTTACTTTGCTGCCTTTCCCAGCTAGAATTTAAGTTCCACAGAGCAGGGATTTCTTTATCCACTGATATAACACGGTGAATCAGGAAGACCAGCTCAGATGCAGGGGGGCAGGGAAAGAGTGTCCGCCTCTTTGGATGAGCTACAGAATATTGTGGCAATTTTTTAAAAATCCATCATGTATGTTTCAAGCAATTTATTATGTCTCCAGTTCTGAAAGGACTGTCATGTATCATGGAACCCCTTAATGCAGTCAGTACAGCCTAGCAAGTATGAGTGTTACCACGCTTTCGAGTTCTTTCGAAACTCACCTGTTTTTAAAATATTTGAGATTAAAACTAGGTACCTTCCAGAATAGGAAAACTATATGTGGAATAAGGACGCATTTAAAATCAGGAACTGCTGGGGTAACAATGCCGAACAGGAACGTTAACAAGCCGACCTAGTTCAAACTGAAGTTTGAGCCCTTTCCTCATCCATTGGCCTGTAACAACAGATTTGCTCTTCCAAGGAATTGTTTGTCTTATGAGTGGCCCAAAGTACTGCATTCAAGTTTAAGGTCACATGTTTTTGTGTCACATGGTTGTTGATAGCTAATAGACATCCCACAGTTGGATAAAATTCAGAGCTGATGTAAACTGAATCCTATCCAATGCAAATAAGACCTCATCGGCCTGGGAGCAGGACTCAGAACTCTGTGGCACCTCCCCCCAAAAGCAAATCAAAACTGACAAAGCTTTAACCAGTGACACACATTTTCTGAAAAATTTGGAGTAAAAGGCAACATATAGTAAAACAATATAATTTCCCAGCAGTCATTTCTATTTTCTTCATAAAATTCCTTTTTAACCAGTCTGTTAGTCCTCAAATATTCCTTTTATTGTTCTAAGTAATTCTATTTCGGTGCTCATCAAATATTTGTCCCCAGATAAATAGGTCTCTTCCTAGGAGAGACTTTCTGTCCTTTCAGTCTTTCTGTTCTGCCACTGAGGCCTGTTGGCTTTTGTCTCATTACCTCGGGTTAACAACATAGCTGCTTCAGCTCCGGCTGTCATATCTGTGTCTGTCTCCATCTATCAGGGAAGGAAAAGCTTTCCCAGAAGCACTTCTCACCAACTTTTCTAGGAAAAGGCTAAGCGAGCATAAATTACTGGGCACATGGCCACATCAGATATAATTGAGGTTTGTTAAGTAGAAGGAGGGAAGGCTCCTGGGGAGGCAGTCAGCAGTGTCGGTCACGGCTGAGGTCTTCATGGGCGGCTGTCCTGCTTCCTTCCGTGGCCGAGTGTTTGTTTGCCTGGCACCTGGCCCTGACATATGCTCCTTCTCTGCTCACTCAGGACTCGGTGCCTCCTCCTGCTGACTCAGCCCTCCCTCCCTCCACTCACTGGCACAGCCGGCACTGCCACAGTGGGTCCCACACAAAGCTCTCAATCAGCCTTTCACGCCTCCTACTGTGCAAGGGTGGCCCAGAAGCGCCAAAGGGATCTTCCTTATGTCTGACCTTCCCACCCATCTTAACAATGCTGGGTGGAGCTGTGCTCCTGCCTGAGGGTTTTCTTCCAGACTCTGGAATGTGGAGCAGGGACCAGGGCGTGGGTTGGGTTCTAGGAGCCGCTCCCTCTTCTGCCCCAGATCTCAGCCTGTGGCTCTCTGCCTTCCTCACTCCCAGAAAGTATGACATCTCTTAATTCTTCCATCTGGAAATGGGTCTTTAAAAAAAAAATTTTTTTTTTTTGCAGATTTTATTTACAGAGAGGGGAAGGGAGGGAGAGGGAGAGTAACACTGATGTGTGAGAGAAGTATTCATCGGTTGCCTATTGCACATCCCCAACTGGGGACTGGGCTGCAACCCTTGTGCCCTGACTGGGAATCAAACTGGTGACCTTTGGGTTCACAGGTCGGCCTTTAATCCACTGAGCCACACCAGCCAAGGCTCCTGATTGTATTTATTTAATTTTAGAGAGAGAGGAAGGGAGAAAGAAAGAGGAAGAGAAAACATCAATGTGTGGTTGCCTCTCATGCGCCCCCTACTGGGGACCTGGTCTGCATCCCAGGCATGTGCCCTGACCCGGAATTGAACCTGTGACCTTTTGTTTTGCTGGATGATGCCCACCCCACTGAGCCACACCAGTCAGGGTCATGCACATAATTTTAAACAATTAAGTATATCAGGATTTATAATAAAAAAGCATCATTGTTCTGTCCCCTTCCCCCTTCCCCAGAGACCACTAATTTTTTGCTTTATGCTCTTCTGGTGGTTAACTTCCATATCTCTAAATATATAATTATATTGTTATTTATCTATCATTTGGAGATGTTATCTATTGATCTCCTGTTTTGACTAAACACCTCTCTCCCTCAACTGTTCTACCACTCTTTGCAGTTAGCCCTGTTGGTTACATTAATAACACGATCAAACCTTTATTTTTGTTCTGGAAAGACAAATCAACAGGTATTTACCCACTTTCCCACTGTGTAGAATGAAGCTTTGCGAACTCCCACCTGCCTTTCTTCTGCCACCTCCCTCCATTCTCCCCAGTTTTGTGCCTGGAGCTGTTCTAATACTTTCCCCGAAGAGACCAGTGGTTCAGGGTGACATAACATGTGAGCTGAGGGCTGGGCAACTTGAACCCTAACTCTGGCACCCCTGTGGGGCTGGAACAGATAAACGCCCCAGTAGTAGTGTTGGGGGTAAATTTAAGGAGACACCAAATATAGTGTTTTAGTGCAATATTTTAAAAAAATCAAAACTAATACAAAAAAATCCGTGAGGCATAAAATCTTGGCATTTCAAAATAAAGACGGGTTCAGCAGAATGAGTAGAGCAGAAGAGAAATAAACAGACTTGTGGACAGCTGCACCCGGCCTTCGTTAGCAGCGGCCCTTGCCTCACTCTGAACACGCGCCTGTGATTGTTACACAGGTTGCCGATCAGAGCTGGGAAGTGTTGGGTGCGGCGAGGGGTGTGCCTTTCAGTTGAGGACACTGGATTTTCAGGGGTGCCACCATCACTTTGACCTCGGAGCTTGCAAACCAGGGCGATGTTGAATTAGGAAATGGCACTTTTGTGATTTAAAAACGCGGATGGGGGGGGTCCCAGATCAACTCACTTTGTTCAGAATTTCGTTGCCTTTCCACTGTAGTTCCCTCCCCCTGCTCTGTGCGTGCCTGTTGGTCCAGGCAGCAGCGTGCTTTGAATAAAGGTCATCAAACCGGTCACTGTTCCGATTATTCTTTTACTCGGCACAAGGAGGAAGCCGGGCCCCCTTATCCGCCACTGAGTCGCTGCAAAATCCTAGGCTTCCCCGACAGCTGCAGATCCCTCCCAGAAGCTGCAAAGCTTCTGGGGTTGCCATGGTCCATGGGAGTGAAATGCTGGCCGCCCCTGCTGCACCAGCCCTGAGCGGGCTGTCGCTGTCACCCCTCCAGCCCCTTTCAAAAGCTTTTAAAAGAGATCAAGGGCGAGGGAGGGTGGGGGAACGAGACGTTAACCAGGGCTTCCGTCCAAGCGGCTGGGGCGAATAAAAGAGGCCTTTTTTAAACTAACAGAGTAAGTGCTGGGTTCGGTTCAAGGGATTTTTAGCCCTCGGTCTTCCCTGGTGCTTCCCAGGCTTCCTCTGCCGTGAGCAGCGCTTTCAGCCTTTTCCCAGGGACTCTTCGCCCTGATCTCTCCCTGGAGGGCCCGAGGATGCCCCCTACCCGCAGCCTGCGGTGCGCAGCTCCTCTTAGCTTGTTTCAAAGGATTTCTCGCCGAGGTTCGGGAGGGACGAGGCGTGAGGGAGACTGAGGCGCAAACTGAGAGGATAGGGTCCCAGCTGCCTGGAGCCGCGGGCTGTGCCTCGCTCCTCCCCCGCACACTTTCGGAAACGCGGAACTGCAAAGACGCGCGCGCGGGCGCAGGCCCCTCGAGGACCCTCGCAGCTTCCTCCCCACTCGGGTCCGCCGGCGGCGGGCGCGGGGCCTGGGCTCGCTTACCCCGGGGCCACGGTGGGTGCAGACAAAGCGGCGGCAGCAGCTGGGGCTCGGGCGTGGGGCTCCAGGAGCCCGCCCGGCCGGGGGCGGGGCGCGCGGGGAGGAGCCGCCGCGGCGTCTTCTGCTGGCGGCGCGCGCCCGCCCGGCCCCGCGGCGGCGGCGGCAGCGGCGGCGCGTCACGCTTTCCCCTCCCCGCCCCGAGCCGACAAGCCGGGAGGCGGTGGCCGCTGCCGCGGCAGCAACGAGGTGCAGGTGCCGGCGGCCCGCGACGACGGAGGCGGCGGCCGGCGGTGAGCGGGGCCCTCTCCCTTCCCCACGCCCTCTCCCCCTCCCTCCCGCAATGCCCGGCCCGCGCCGGTCAGCCGGGCGCCGTGAGGGGGGCCAAGCCCCGCGCGCCGGGCCGCCCCGGAGGGGAGCCGGGAGCCCCGGGGGGATGGCCCTGGAGGCCATTGGTGCCCGGGACGCTCCCCGGGAGATCCGGGAAAGGGGCCGGCCCAGTGAGCGCGGCGCCTGGCCTTCCCTTCCTCCGCCCGCCTCAAGATGGAGCTTGGACTCCTTGCCCTGCGCCGCCCCAGGCGCCGCGCGCTGCGGACGCGGAGCTCCGCTCCGTTCCGCTCGGCCCTGGGGGGTCTGCGCCGGGCCCGACCTGTTGCCCCCGGTCGCTGCTGCCGCCGCCCGGTCGCCCTAGCGTTCCCCAGGTGGCCGCGAGCCGGAGCGGAGGGCACCCTGGCGTAGCCACCCTGGCGTGGCCTCCCTGGCGGGCGCCGGCCGGCGGTATGGCCCCGGCCTGGCTGTTGGTGGCTTTGTCCCCGCACCCCACTCCCCATGGGACTGTGATTCTTGGAGGTGGATGATAAGAGGTGACAAGCATTTCTGAAATAACACCGCTGCTCTGTAACCCGAACCTTGTGCCTGGGCAGGGGATTGGCTCGGAAGACAGATGACACTTGTTCCGGGGTTATTTTAAAAGCAGAGTCTTCCGAGTCCTCTCCTGGGGGCGGGGGGGGGCGGTGCTGGGCTTCAAAACCCTGGTTTGGGTTGGGGGATTAAAACCCGAGCTCGATTGTCCTCTTCCTGTGGCTTTTCCATCTGGCTGGGACCGAGCGCCACCCCTCCTCCCGCCGCAGCCCCACCTCTTGGGCCGGAAGAAATTACACGTTAAGTCTGCAGCCCTTCTAGATACCTGTTTTTAGCAAAACTTGGGGACCAATGACCGTATTTAGAAACGAGGGTGGAAAAAATGCTGAAAATGCTGCAGGGTTGGTTTTTTTTTTTTTGGTTCAGCGTCGCCTTGCTGCTGTAGGTTAGGATAGTGCCTGCCAGCGAGACCTCAGTGAGGACCGTGTTGCTGCCACGGTTCAGGTTGTCGTTCCGGTTTTATTATTACTGTTATTTAGAGTGTCCACAAGTCCAGAGACCAGTCTTTGACTTTGGGTTTTTAAAAAATTGACGAGAGAGAGAGAGAGATGGAAGCATCGATTTGCTATCCTACTTATCTATGCATTTATTCTTGCCAGTGCCCCGAACGGGGATGGAACCTGCAACCTTGGTATGTGTCTAAATGAGGTTCTTAACCAACCGAACTACCCAGCCAGGGCTGCCTTTGGCATATCTTAAAAAGTGTGTTCAGTTACACTTGACATTCAATATTATAGTCTTTGACTTTGGCTTTTAATGATAACCTTTTGCAAAAATCCTCAGGTATGTTGCTTCCCCAGCCTGGGGGCATATTTTTTTCCCCTCTGAAAATAACAATTACCATTTATTGAGGGTTTCTTGTGGTCAAGCCCTGGGTGAGTCTTTCATGTGTTTTATCTCAGTCATTCTAACCCAGTTGGGGGGGCCCTCATTATCCCCATTTTATAGAGAAGGCTTGGGAGGCCTTACACCAGGAGCAAGTGGTGGTGTCAGGATTTGAGCTCAGGAGTTCTGACTCTAGGTGCTTAATAATTAAATGCGTATAGTGAGTCTCTAGCGAGGAGGGAGGCTAGCCGCAATTAAATAAAGAAGTTGGATGAATGCGTGGCCAAGGGCTGGTGCTGAGTTTTTAAGATTCAGAGAAAGAAGTGCTTCTTTGGCTTCCCACTAGACCTGGTTCAAAAAATAAACAAACCAAAACCGTAAAGCTAGAAGTGCATTGGAACCCGTAGGTCTCGGTCTGAAGATGAAGCTCACACCCTTCCTTACTTTCAACAGTTGCTTCAGTGCCCGTGCGCCCCAGCACAACGGCAGCTGCTCTGGGTTCTAGAAATGTGGAATTTGGTGCATTTATTTACACTTAAATATATATTTTTTACCCAGAGTCTAACATTGAATCTGTTGCATCCTGTGTGGTCCACACCTGTCTGTGCACTTGACTCAGTCGTGTTTGACTCTCGCTTTTTTAAAAATCGGTTTGAGATGGACAGAGAGACGTCCATTTGTTGTCCCACTTACTGATGCACTCATTGGTGGATTCTTGCCTGTGCCCTGACTGGGGATTGGACCTCAACCTTGGCGAATGGGCACGATGCTCCAACCAGCTGAGCTCCCCGGCCAGGGCTGACTCCTGCTTTTTAGGTGCTGTGTCTGGGGGATTCCAAACTGAGCGGATGAGGGTGCGAGATGACTTGCTCCTCTGGCGCTCCGTGCAAAGATCGCCACCTTGGAGTGCCTCACATACTGGCTGCCTGGAGTTCCCGGTTGTTGCTGTTTCTGGTCTTCCGTGTGTGTGTGTGTGTGTGTGTGTGTGTGTGTGGTCCTTGCCACACATGTATTTCTCTTTGTAGCACCCTCTGCAGGATTTTGCAGAGGCCCAGGTGCTCAGTAAATATTTGTTACCTGGTTAGTTAAAAATATGTGGCCCACAAGTTTCAAACTGGTTTCGTAGGAGTCAAAGCTAAAGAAAAAAACAACAGAAGGTAGTGTAGGAAAATTACGTAGTATTTGTTAATATTAAAACCTCATAAAAAATATTAAAACCTCATCTATAGAGTGTTCAGTGACCACCTCCTGTATAACTTCACGCTTTTTCCACATTATCAGCTTCTTTGATCCCTCCCTTGTCCAGGTGAGAGGGGAGGCAGCTCGTCTTTTCCTGTGGAGAGACAGTGGGCGCTGGTCTTCGTTGCAAGCCTGGTGTTCAGGTTGAGGTGCTGTGGTTTGCCTGTCGGTGAGCTGGAATTAGCTCTCTTTCAGTCTTCACTCACCAAATTTTGATTGAGCACCTGCTGTGTGCCCAGGTCAGGTGCTGTTCTGGGTGCTGGTGATACAGCAGTGAATAAAACACAGAAGTCCCTGTTCTCTTGGAACTTCCCTTCAAGTAGGGGAGGCAGAGAATAAACACATTAATACAGTTGATAGTGGTGATACACAGTAAGAAAAAAAAACAGGGACAGGGAGTATTATATTATGTTGTGGGGACAAGTTAGGGCAATGGAAGTTTTAGGTAGGACAGTCAGAGGAGACCCCGCTGAGAATGTGGCTTTTGAGTAGAAATCTAGAGGAAGCAGGGGAGGGAATAGAGATCCAAGAGGGGAGAGCCAGTGCAAAGGTCCTGAGGTAGAGGTTTGGGAGGGGGGCAGATCATATAAGGCCATACCGGGTGTGGTCCTAAAGAGGTACTTTTTAAAATTCCGTAAAATCCTGAAAGGTACGGAATAATGCCATGTTGTTTGTGATTTTGATGAAGAAAGAGTTAATGATAGGGGAATGGAGGCTCAAAGAAGTTTACTAACTTACCTAAAAGGCCACACAGCCAGTGAGTACAGAGCTGGACACTGAACCCAAGTTTATGTTACGTGACGTTGAGCAGCGTGGGGAGTGTGCTGGCCACGGAGCCGGCAGTGGCTGGCAGAAAGGCCCGGCCGCGCCTGCAGCTGGGACCCGCTCCTGGGCTGCACTGTTTGTGTGGAGGGTCTCAGCTCCTCCCGGGGCTGATATTTGCGTCTGTTGCTTTTTCCCGGAATTGTGCTCCCAGCAGCAAAGCCTTCCCTTCTGGTCTCAAAAGTTCCCTGGTTCAAAAATGTGTGTTAAAATAGAAACCTTTACGTTGGTCTCCAGGATCACCCTGCATATGAATTTTTTAGATACCCGTTTAGGGAGGCTTTAAAGTATTAGAGCATCTTATATATTTTTAATATGGGTAGTGTGTTTTCCCCATGTAGATGGAACTCAGAGAATCCATATGCTTTAAATCAGGGTGTGAGTCCCGGGGCACTTCTGAGGGAAACCATATCGACTGATAGCACTGTACAAGAATTTCAAGTAAGAGTGACCTCTTCAGATTTCAGTCGGGGAGCAGAAGAGGCCCTTCCTTCCTTCCTTCCTTTCTTTTGGTAGGTTGGCGGACTTAATTAACCAGCCTTGAACTTGGCTAGGACATCTGGGTTAATATCCTGGCCCTGGCACCGAGTACCAAGGAATCTTGGCCACAGTTAGTAAAGAGCTTTTTTTCCCTCCTAATCTCCATCTGGCACGTCCAAGAGGACAGATTCCACTCGCACCAGCTCAACGGGCGGGTCTGTTTTTTAATCGTCTGTGTCATTGTGGTTCGGCAACAGAAATCTTTCAAGTACTCTTTGCAGACTGTTGGAAAAGGAGGAGCAGCCCCGTTTGCAAGGTCCCTTGGGGAACCTTCTCCGGTATGTCTGTCCCCAGGGAGACACGTTCTCATCTGCCTCTTCTCAGGAATCCTAGTGAGGCCAGAGAGGGACTGTGTGCAGCCCTAATGTGTCTCATACGAGCAGGTCTAACATACTTCCGACTTGAATTAAGTACTTTAATATGTGTGTTCTCCTCTGCGTACTCGTATCTAAGAATAGCCTGGAGTCCGTCCCAGTTTTAGCCCTGCCCATTTTTTACACTTAAAATTGCCGAGTCCTCGATTTACCGTAGCGTCTCTGAAGTCCAGGGCCTGAACGTCCAGATGTTCAGGATGTGCCTGGCGCCCAGAACTCGGGTTTGATGTATAGAGGGCGTATAAAAGGCAGGCCGCTTTACCCCGCCCCCCGCCCCCATTCTACAAACGTGTGCTCGGAAATATTTGGCGTATCGTTTTCCTTTCTCAGAAGAGATAAGAGATGCTAGGGATAGTTTCCTAAACATCTTTTAATGAAATCTTTGGACTTCCAGCATTCTCTCTTTAACTGATTTTCTCCATAGAATGATTTCTTACTGGACATACTATGTTCTAATACCCCAGGCAGGAAGGAACCTATTTTATTTAAGATTTTTCTTTTCCAGGCTATGGAATAAATAAACTTTATAGGCAGGGTATATATATATTTTTTTACAGCCTCTGTGAGAGAAA